GAGATTCTTTCTCTCAGAAATTTTTTTTTTCTCATAATTTCAAAAGTTTCAATAATTAGAAGTTAATTTAAATAATCAATTCACATATTTAATATGATTTCTTAATCTGACGCTATAGGCATTCTACCCGCCTTGTTCGCCCATCTTCTTTTTGCTGATGATTAGATGATGCCTTAGTTAGGTATTGTATATATTAAAATTGGTTTTAGAAATTCAGTTGAAAATGTGTCCATGTCCCTTTAAGTTCCAGTGGTTCTTGGCTTATATCCTGTCAACATACTTTTTCCCAAAGATCGTTCACTTCCTTTTTCAAATGAAATATCATCTTAAAACACATATCTATAAAAGATTTGGACAATTCATTATTTGTTATTTTAAAAATATGTATAATTTAGAATATCTACCCCTCAAAGTTGCTGTATTAATTTAAAAAAAAATATCTTACAACAATAAACGCTGTTTTTATTTTTCCCCTCCTGGGTAGAATTTCAATCTGAATAATATTTTCTAAATAATTATTGATACAAATATAAACTTAAAGTCTTTGTTATTACGTAATGAGGGTTCTATTTTTAGTAAAATGACAAAAACCCGCGTATGTGTGGTGGGTGCGGGGGTAGTGGGCGTGTCCAGCGCGGTACGGATCCAGAACGAATTGCCGGAATGACGTCACCATCATTGCTGACCGGTTCAGTCCGGACACCACTTCAGATGGGTCAGGTGGATTCTGGTTGCCACATCTGGTGGGCGGGGACAATCAGGAATTGGTCACGTTAGAATCCCATTCATCCATTGTTAATATTTCAAATTCTTACCAACCTTTCATATTTACATGAATATAATTATCTTCTTCGCTTATAAATAAAAAGCCAGATTCAATATGTAAAAGTTTCATGTAGATATTGGTTTTTTTTTTTATTGCTACTCTGATTCCTACCATAGGAAATGCGGTGGCGACACCTGGGATTACCTGTTATATCTTGCAACCTCGCCTCTGGCCAGTCGCCTCGGGGCACAGATGGTCTCGGGTTACTCTTTCTTCGCAGAGACACAGGTAAAACAGAAAGTCTTATTCATGTGATGAAACTTGAATTTTTTTCAAATGACAAATGTATATGCACAATAACAAGAACGCATTTCTGTTGCTAGCCATTTTTTTCTTTATTGAAATAGTGTCCAGGATGGCGGCACCAGGTCTTAGGATACCGCGAACTGGACAACAAAGAACTTAAACTTCTTTTCCCCAAGGCCAGGTAAAACCTCTAACTCCTGATTTCGAGTTCACAGGTTTATTTGCATTTAGTTTTTACCGTATATATATCGTCTACGTATGTTGCACTTTGATTGGTTACCAATCGACGGTGTTCCTAGCTATGTCATACATTGTATGTTTTTGATTGGTCGGATTTACTGTCTTGGGATTGGTCACATATCCTGCTTACTAATAGGTTGTAGCTGTCTCTCTGTTGCAGATTTGGCGTGTTTTACACCACGGTGATGATCAATGTCAAGGCCTATCTGACTTGGCTGATGTCAAGGTCAGTATGACAAATGAATATTAGTTAGAAACCTGACATATATACATGTAATCAGTTTGGTATAAAATATATGGTCGATTTTTATTTGCTCAAGATATTTTGATTGGTCGTGTCATACTTTGTATTAGACAATATGTTACATGCATTTGATTTATGATTTATTTCTAGATTCAAGAATAGCAATGGAAAGTTCATAAATAGACGAGTGGACAGTTTAGATAAGGTGTGTACATGGATTTAAGTATTTTTCTCCTTTGACTAAAGATCGACCCTTATTTATATTTAATTAATGCAAAATCTGTCTTGTGTAGCTGCTGTCAGATTATGACGTGGTAGTGAACGCTTCAGGGATTGGTTCAAGGACACTAGTCAAAGACAATGACGTCATTCCGATCCGGGGCCAAGTCTCCAGGGTAATAACATAATAATGATTTACTTTTGTGTTTTATTTTGTAATGGATATGTATAAAATAGATCTATATAAAGTACACTATTTTCAGGTTAAAGCCCCGTGGGTGAAACAATTTATGACATACGAAGGAACGAATATACATTGTGAAAAATATATTCTACCTGGGTATATAGTTTTATACTTTTGCGGTTCAGTATTTTTATTTAAACATGAATTAATGAATACACTCCATTAAAAAAATATTTGCACATTTTAAGAACCGGATTAGTTAGTGATTTACCGAATATTAAGTTGAAACTGATATTCATTGTTATGGTGTGTTCGATTATATCATGTATCCATTGTAATGGTCTGTTTGGGTATCGGTTATTTATGATGTGTTTGATTATTCATTATTATGGCGTGTTCGAATACCCAATGTTGTTGTGCTGTGTGTAATTATCTAGATCTGACGCTGTCATACTTGGCGGAACTGGTCAGACTGGCAACTGGAACACAAAAATTGATGACGTTGATCGCAAGGCAATTTGGGAGGGTTGTCTAGAACTAATACCAAGTCTAAAGGTATCATTTATTTCGAAAAACGAACAAGCAATCAAGGATTGAATCATAACACCAGTTGGTGTAAAGACTATGTGGACCATTAGTCCCCTAACATAAATAAGGTGCAAAGATATTAACTTAAGATGATGCATAAGTTCTACATTGAATTTTGTTCTTTGAGCAGGATGCAGAAATAATCCAACACTGGGTCGGCTTACGTCCACACCGAGGTTCCGGGGTACGACTGGAAACTCTGAGGCTCCCGACAGGAAAAATGGTAAATAAGATAAGATAATTACACATCTAATCTGACGTTTTTAATTGTATGATCCCCTTTATTTTTATTATTTCATTTTTATAATTTTTATTTTTAGATCGTACATAACTACGGACACGGGGGGTCGGGCGTGACGTTACATTGGGGATGTGCGGGAAAGTCGTCAAGGAAATCCGGAAAGCGCTTACTCAGTCCCCGGCAAAGCTGTAGGCTGTAGGGAAACAAAGAAGCTATTACAGACCACCAGGGGGCCTTGAAATTGTGTGATAAAGGAGGCCTCATTGAAGAAGCTAGAAAATATATATTTATAAATACATGTAGCACCGATAAATCTAATATGTTGTTTGAAACTTAGTTATAGGAAGGGAATGTTTAATGGTCTTACGTATTTTTTGTAAAAAAAAATGAATGAAATGGAATTTTTTCTTTTAAAGAACCACGTATGATTTATTAAAATTATATATGCGCTATTAAATAAAGAGTCTTTAAAAAAACTATTTTGTATTTTTCAATTAAGAAGTAGAGGTATTGGTAGATTATTCGAGTTTGATTTTTTAGCTCACCTGAGCCAAAGGCTCAAGTGAGCTTTTCTGATCACAATTTGTCCGTTGTCTGTCGTTGTCGTCGTTGTCGTTGTTGTAAACTTTTCACATTTCCATCTTCTTCTCAAGAACCACTGGGCCAATTTCAACAAACTTGCCACAAAGTATCCTTAGGTGAAGGGAATTCAGGTTTGTTCAAATGAAGGGCCACGCCCTCATTCAAGGGGAGATAATTGGGAATTAATGAAAATTTGGTGGCATGTTTTAAAAATCTTCTTCTCAAGAACCACTGTGCCAGGAAAGATGAAACTTATGAGGAAACATCCTCAGGTAGTGTAAATTCAAGTTTGTTCAAATCATGACCCCCAGGGGTAGGGCGGGGCCAAAATGGCCGACCCAAGTTTTACATAGAAATGTATAGGAAATTTCTTTAAAAATCTTCTCCTCAAGAAACACAAAGCCATAATTGATCATATTTATATGGAAGCATCCTCAGGTAGTGTAGATTCAAGTTTGTTCAAATCATGACCCCCAGGGGTAGGGCGGGGCCAAAATGGCCGACCAAAGTTTTACATAGAAATATATAGGAAAATTCTTTAAAAATCTTCTTCTCAAGAATAGCAAAGCCATAATTGATTATATTTATATTCTAGAAATTTATTATTTGCATCATTTGCAATTTTAATTATTAAAATTGCAAATGATGCAAATAATAAATTTCTAGAATATAAAGAAATTGTAAACCTTCTGTGATGTTCAAAAGTCTACCCTTCTGAAACCATCGTTATTAATCTATACAAATATTTTTCACTTCAAATTCCATTTTTGTGGAAATTTGAATTAAAAATTTAAAAGTACGCGGTGAAAGTTATTCATTTTACTCATTTAAGCATGACCCAAGTTGTTATTTTCAAATTCTTTGACAAAAGTTTGGTTGTATCATCTGTCCTTAACTTCCTATTTAGTACCGTAGTCTGTTTGCAAGCGCGTTACGGATTTTGCTAACGCCCAAATATTTAAAAAATTAAAAATTTATTTCTGAAAATTCATCAGTTTAATCCAATATTGTCAGACTTCCCATTGAACACTTGGATTATTCTAGAAGAGTAGGATGATAATTAGTGGGCGTCAGACATGAGGGAAAATCTGCAATAAGAACCGAATGTAAAGCCAGCCTCCTAATGAAAGTATTCAATAAATCTGATGATACCAGTGCTTTCGAATCATTATGGATTTCGGATGTTTTTTTTCTTATTGATATATTCTATATATCTTGTGTGAAATTAAAAGGAACGAAAGTCATATTATCACCTGATTTATTGAAATAAAAATTCACAAACTTAATTAACAAACAACAAACATAATTAACAAAAATGAGGATTTCTTTACAGTTATGTACATATTATGTACATATTGGGTTGTCATAGGAACCAAAATCTTTTATCTAAAATCATGAACTATAACACATTTAAACACTATACTGAAAATAAAACTGAGAAATGAATTCTGTACAATTAATCTAATGTTCCTAAAATAATTCACCTTTTTAAATCGAATCACATAACAATTCAAGAAGGGTAAGAAATGGGAGAGGACAGTTTCTTTTTTTTAATCCGGTCAAAGAAAAGTTTTTAATTACTCCACATCACTGTAACAATTTTATTTTAAAATTATACCGGTGTATTATTTCAATGATGGTCCCTGCATATAAGTTCCCTGACTTGCTGTATTCTCATGACTGTAGCAGTTTGTATGTCGTGTGATGTACTGATATGTTTGAGAGCTTGTTGGTAGGAGTACAGAGCAGCTTGATGGTTCCCTGTCACCTGTTGACAGATTCCTAGAATCTGCCAGGATATGTTTCGTAGATAATAACGAATGTACTTCCTCTGATCATGGTGGACCAGGTCCTGTAGGTCATTAAGAGCTGTTTGTGCTCGCACTGGGTCTACATATCTGTAACACAAGACCTCTAACATGTGTAACAGAACGTAAAGTGGGATGAATAATACAGGTTGTCCATACTGTGACAGAGACTGTTGTTCTGGCAATAATTCATTAATGTAACACATTGTACTGGGCAAAACAAAATCTTTTGCTACGGTATGTCTTATATTTGTAGACCGGGATTGTCCCCTCATAGATTCACTAAAAATGCATCTTCCTGCATTATAATCTTTATCTGAGATATACATTATATATGGTTGTGCTAACTTGACATTTGTCATCTCTATAACTGATATAGCTTTCTTATATCTAAGTGTCTTGTAGTAAAACATTGCAAGATATAACATATCAGAAATACACCCAAACTTGGATGCTAATTTCAGCATATAACTGAATTCTTTGTTAGCCAAATAGACCTGCTTGTTTAAAACTGAACTTGATTTTATCTTGAATGGTGCAAAACCGGTTGAAAACTTGTATAAGATAAAAGCAGTGCTCTGGAGTACAGTGGCTGTAAACATCCGTAACAGGAGAACCTGGTACTGGGTCAGGGGTAAAATTATTAACTTTTCTACAGCACTAAAGAACCTCGTACAATGATATAGCTCTGATGCTGCTATACTATTCCTACTCAGCTCATGAAACAGATCATCTTCAAACCAAGACATGGTGTTCATAATTTGCTCAATTCTACTAATGGACTTTTTAAGGACAGTTGTAACACCAAACCTGATAGACGGACAATAAAACACCGATGCTATACCCCTCGCATACAATTCATGAAGCTTGATGAATAAATTCTTTTGTGCTTCACCATGGATATTACTCAGAAACATGTTGTTTTCTGGAATAAAAAAGTTTGGGCATACTCCCTCATACACCCATTTAAGGATAAGTTTAAAACAGACCCAGAAACACTCCAGTAAATTTTGTGGAAACCAATGATGCAATGTGTTTTGTTGAATCATCCAGAGAACTGCTGTCTTCATGTGATACGAACACAGAAATTTATCCTCGTCCCTTAATCCATGATTAATAGACTCTTTTAAGAACAGCTTAAGCAGCCCGTAGGTTAAGAATTGGCTATGATTCATTGAATATACAAGTTTTTGTTCTGCTAAAGAGAAGGAAATTCTCCATTCTTTGTCTGCGTGTTTTCCTAGTTTGTGTCCTATTGCTACAAAGTGGCATCCATTTCTGACTATGTCATCAACAGTATAAGATGGTGGCCATGAGTGACATCTGTCTACCCATTTGGAGGCAGGAGGAGGCCAACAATCAGAGACAAAACACTGGGCAGTGTCATACTCTCCTCCTCCCACTATAACACCACTACCACACGGACCATGTTCCATAGAATTAGGTATAACTACTGAACATGTGATTTGTCTGTATTTTGAACTGGATATATAGAGCCTGTCATTTACTCTCATACATGCATTCTGTACACTTTCCATGTTTGTTGGTGTCATTAATTCAAGTAACCCATACCCTGGAGGGCTCTCTGTACAATCACAGAGAATCAGTGTTTTTCTACTTAAGTAATAATTCTGAACCTGATCTAAGTTCCATATTACCGTGTGGTCACTTCGCCAAAACATGCCGTCCATATCTGAACTCTGTAGTCTGAATCCTTCTCTGCGACTCCCACTAGTCAACATTCTGTCTCCTGTTGTTTCTATTACTTGATTTACCATCATGTCCCTGAAGTCCACCAACTCTCTCCTCATGATCACCTGCTGTGAGGTACCCACTATGAAACTCAGTCCCATAAATACAGTCTCGGACAGATGCTGCATACCCAATTCCCTGTACAAAACATGATAAATATATCTACAAACATATGTTATAAAATTAATGTCATCATCAATGAGTCCTGTAGTAATATTGAGTTATGTAATTAACTACATGTAATTGTCTAGACCGAAAATCATACATCGTTTTTATGTTCCAACGCCTCACTAATTACACGTCTATGATTGTCCTTTGATCACATAATATATAGCAATATAATCATATTTTTGGGCAGTCATAAAAATAGAGTTGTCGTGATACATGAACAAAATTGTGTAAGGTTTATACTTTACAGTGTGTATGGAAACTTCCTTTCTGAATAATCCGATTTCAAACAATTAATACTTTATTTTTGGTTTTCCAAATTACACACACATATCCCGAACAAATTGCTTATTTTGATGTGGAATAAGTGAATTTGCTAAGAATACTTTTTATCATTTAGCATCAGACAAAATCATGATCAAGTGTTATGATCATATGTTTCCACATTTCAACCATATTGCAGTATACCTATTTGATTTTTCAACTTGAACAAATGATCTGAAGGGCCATTATCTTAAAAACAAGATGCCACCGATATTATAGGTCACCTGAGTATCAAATAACAACTTTACAACAATTGAATTTGGTTCGTTTCATAAATCAAAAGCCATGAAATTTACAATTTTGAAAGAGACATAAGACATTGTTTATCATAAGTATACACTTAGCATGCTTACTTTAGTTACTTAATACCCAGAGGTAGATCAACGTTATATAGAGAAAATGCATTTCCACTTTATAATCACCAGTTGTGCAGCCCACCCCTACAGGAACCACTGACCCTAGGGCCACATAATTTTAAAAAAATGGAAATTTTATCTTAAATTTTATTTCATCATAAATGGCTGATTAATACCAAAGAGCAGATTTCAAAGCATTAATTTATCTTCAGACTTAGTATGTAAACCCCCAGTTTCCTTGACCCAGGGGACATGATATTGACACTTTCGGAAGAGGCACCTATCTTCATCATAAATATGTACTTAGATCATTGGCATACTAAGTAATACCAAGGAACAAAGGACACGATTTTCAAAGGATTAAGCACTTTCATTATATAATCATTAGAACCCTTCCTTAACACCAGAACCTCTGACCCAGGGACCCTGCAATTCACAAACTTGGAAGAGGCATCCTTCTTCATCAAAACTATGTTCATTGGTTTAATACCCGGAAGCAGAGGAGAATATTTTTAAAGAATTGATGTTTTTCACTATATAATCAATAGAGACCCGAGGCTCGCTAATCTATCATAACTATGCACTTGGTAAGTTCATTTAATATCCAGGGACAGAGAAGAGGGGATTAAAAGAAATGATGTATTTTCACTTTATAATCAATAGAGCCACATCATAACACCAGAACATTCAACCTAGGGGCCATGAAATTCCCAATTTTAGAAGAGACATTATTGCTCATCATAACTATGTACTTGATTAGTTTATTTAATGCCCAGTAGCAGAGAAGATTTTCAAAGAAATAATGCATTTTCATTTTCACTATATAATCTATTTAGCACATAGCACTAGAACCCATGATCCTTTGACCACGAATGTACAAGTTTGGGAGAACACAAGGCTGATTTCAACCATGCCAACAGTTTCACTGCTTGATGTACAGGGGTAAAGAGAAAGATTTTAAAGATTGCATCAATTTAGTAGTTTCAGCCCAATCCCTCGGCCCCAAGGGGGCACGGACCATGAAAATTCACAATTTATGTTTCTCTTCGATGCTTTGTGCAAAACTTTTTGAAATTGATTGAGTGGTTGCAGAAAAGAGGCTGAAATGTTCAAATGTTAACACACGACGGACGATGACGGATTAAAACTTAGCAATAGCTATGTCACCTGAGTGTAGGTGGATCGGTAAATATATTTTGTCATCTTTAAAAAACATTCTGAATTTTAACAGAATATTTACTTCGAGTAAAAAAAGTACAAAAGAAAAAAGTGAATTTTAAGAAGAATATCATGTAAATGTAATTCAGAGGCAAATTAATGGTATTAAAATTTGTTCACAACTATTTTCTACTCGACATTGAGATATATCTTTATACCCGCACTTTCTAAAGAAAGTTCGGGTATATTGTTGTTACTCATGTCCGTCCGTCCGTCCGTCCGTCTGTCACACTTTTCTTCCCTGAACTCCTCTTACATTTTACACAGTAGCCTAATCATCTTTTGGGAGATGGTTGGTGGTGTCATGTAGATGTGCAGTAAGGTTTCGGAATTTTGATTTTGCCCCGGGGGGTCAAATGGGGGTCGAAAAATGACGTTTTTTATGCAAAAAGCCCCGTCTTCCCTGAACTCCTCTTACATTTTACACAGTAGGCTAATCATCTTTTGGGAGATGGTTGGTGGTGTCCTGTAGATGTGCAGTAAGGTTTCCGAATTTTGATTTTGCCCCGGGGGGTCAAATGGGGGTCGAAAAATGATGTTTTTTATGCAAAAAGCCCCGTCTTCCCTGAACTCCTCTTACATTTTACACAGTAGCCTAATCATCTTTTGGGAGATGGTTGGTGGTGTCATGTAGATGTGCAGTAAGGTTTCGGAATTTTGATTTTGCCTTGGGGAGTCAAATGGGGGTCGAAAAATGATGTTTTTTATGCAAAAAGCCCCGTCTTCCCTGAACTCCTCTTACATTTTAGACAGTAGGCTAATCATCTTTTGGGAGATGGTTGGTGTTGTCATGTGGATGTGCAATAAGGTTTCGGAATTTTGATTTTGCCCCGGGGGGTCAAATGGGGGTCGAAAAATGACGTTTTTTATGCAAAAAGCCCCGTCTTCCCTGAACTCCTCTTACATTTTACACAGTAGCCTAATCATCTTTTGGGAGATGGTTGATGGTGTCATGTAGATGTGCAGTAAGGTTTCGGAATTTTGATTTTGCCCCGGGGGATCAAATGGGGGTCGAAAAATGATGTTTTTTATGCAAAAAGCCCCGTCTTCCCTGAACTCCTCTTACATTTTACACAGTAGCCTAATCATCTTTTGGGAGATGGTTGGTGGTGTCCTGTAGATGTGCAGTAAAGTTTCAGAATTTTGATTTTGCCCCAGGGGGTCAAATGGGGGTCAAAATGATGTTTTTTATGCAAAAAGCCCTGTCTTCCCTGAACTCCTCTTACATTTTACACAGTAGCCTAATCATCTTTTGGGAGATGGTTGGTGGTGTCCTGTAGATGTGCAGTAAGGTTTCGGAATTTTGATTTTGGCCCAGGGGGTCAAAAGGGAGTCAAAAATGACGTTTTTTATGCAAAAAGCCCTGTTTTCCCTGAACTCCTCTTACATTTTACACAGTAGCCTAATCATCTTTTGGGAGATGGTTGGTGGTGTCATGTAGATGTACAGTAAGGTTTTGGAATGTTGAATTTGCCCCGGGGGGGACTAATGGTGTCGAAAAATGATATTCTAAAAAGTGAGGTCAAGGTCAAAGGAAAATTCAAGGTCAAAATAAGTTGATGTATTAATAGCTCTTAGCAGTATGTATCAGCATATGAGGTTTGATAAATATATCTTGAATTGTTTATTCAAAACTGGTCTAGACATTAATTTTAGAAAAGTGATATCAAGGTCACAGGAAAAGTCAAGGTAAAAAAGAGTGAAGCATCGTAAAGCTTACATCAGTATGTATCATCATGTGAAGTTTCATTACACAACTTGAATGGTTTCTTTAAAATAAAGCTAAACACTAATTTAAAGAAAAGTTAAGTGAAGGTCAAAGGAAAAGTCAAAGTCAAAAAATATTGCTGCAGTTGGATATTTACATCAGTATGCATCAACATATGAACTTTGATAAAAATATCTAGAAAGTTTCTTTGAGCCCGATGGAAAGACAGATGGAAGGGTGGAGGACGGACATGACAAAAACTATACATGTATTCCTAATCATGGTGTGGCATAAAAAACTTGAATCTACATTATATGAGCATGTTCCATCTATCAAGATTATACAAGCAAATTCAAAGAATTGTGGTCCTCTGCTTTCTGTGTTTTACTGAATGAGATACCATAATTTATGGCAGATTGTGTGTCAAATATGCACCCCTATCATATATCAATTTTTGAAAATTGGGTCAAAGGGAAAAAATCATAGCATGCTCTGAAACATTTTGTTGCAGGTAATGTACATGTCAAATATGAAAGTCCTGTCTCTTTTGAATCAAAAGTTATATATACAATATAATATTTTTGAAAAGTAGGTTAAACTTCTAGGTCAAGGTCACAGAGTCAAAAGTCATGATATATTTAGAAAAGTCTTTTCACATGTAATAAACATGTATAATCTGAATGCCCTTTCTTTTCTCTTTCAAAATGATCAATTTAAAATGTTATTTTTTGGAAAGTAGGTAAAACTTTAAGGTCAAGGTCTCACTTGGGTTAAAAAATCATAGTATATTTAGAAAGTTTTGTGGTAATGTGCATGTGAAATATGAAAGCACTATCTCTTATCATTCAAAAGTTATGACCAAGGTTAAATTTATTGTGACAGATGCACATACTAGCTGTCAATAAGATGGACAGACTGACAGACAAATGAGATTTAGTGTCCCCTCCCTTTCCCCAAAATGGGGGACAAGAATGCCCTTGCTGTTCTTGAGAAGAAGATTTATGATGGAAAAAATCCCCTGCATATTTCTTAACGCAAATCAATATTGTGTTTTTATGTCATTTTGTTTGTTGTTATACATCCCTCTCAGGAATTTTTCACTCATATGGAGACACCACCATTTGAAAAATAATGAGGACAAGTTAGATTTGAGGTCAACATTCATTTTAGGAGTTTTCAACCATTAAGACGTAAAGAAATATTAACTCGATCCTTCCCCTCACCCCTTCCCAGACCCCTGTTTGTTCATGTATGCAAAAAAAAAAATGTTTATACAAAAAGTTTAATGTGGTCCATCTCTGAATGATTCTCATTCCTAATTCTAGGAAGATATGTTGACACAAATTCATGAATA